AAAAAAAAAAAAAAAAAAAAAAAACACATCTTAGTAAAACCAATACCTTCTCAGCTTCGCATCGAAGCTAAAATTGAAAAATTTTCAAAAATTAGCGATTTTTAAATTTGTAATTTTTTTGGAGGTTTCGCCCATTTACGGAGAACGAAGGAAATTTTTTCAATTTTTGAGGGTAATGTCTTCGACTAGATGCATTTGTGATCTTTTGACGTATCATTGAAAGAAATCGGTTCGGTGAGAGCTGAGAAAAAGTGACAACAGACACAAAAAAAACATATCATAGTAAAATTAATACCTTCTCAGCTTCGCATCGAAGCTAAAAAAAAGAGAAAACCCTTGGAACACTGACCCCGATATAAAAAGTAACTCAAAAAAATAATAATAAGGAATTAAGCTTAAAACCATAAGAGTCTCAATTATTTCAATATCTGCTCAACCAACGCATCTATACATAATATTATATATTATTCTTGTTCTTTTAACTTAATTATTTTATATTATTCCTTCGTCTCTTTTTTTTTGAGTTACAATATATATCATAAAATTAGTATTCAGTATAGAAAAATTCCTTTTCTTCTGGAAATGGATATTGATGTTGCTTTTAGAATATCCAAGAATTGCTTTTTAATTTTAAAGACTATTAACAGTTTTGCGTCAAAGCAATTTTGATGATAGTGAGTTTAATCACTGTCAGATAATCTATACTTGTCTCAACTATGCCGCATCTTCACTGTGACACGATCCTACTAAACTAGTTTTTTTATCATATATTCACTATAATGATGCGTATGGGCGTGGTGTGGCGCGTTGGTCTCACACTAGTTGTTCTAGCGTGAAGTCTATCGCTGTAGGTGAACGGATGTGTGATCTTGTGTGCTCTTTTACGGTGACGAAATAAGCACTATGTTCCTAGTGTAGAAGGCTACGGTAAACCACTGCACTTAAATTTCCCCAAGATATACCAATTCAGTTGGTATTAACCAACCTAATGGTTGTAACAAAAAAAAGTTCACCTTAATAATAATAATGCGATCAGCTTTTATATTTGAATCCTGAAAAGCAAAATAATGTTGTTAATCATTTTTAAGAGTCATTCATAATATTAACAAAAAGTTATATGATTTTAAATATATAAAAAGCACAATCGAGATGTTTGTTAACATGCATTAATGAGGCAGCTTTAAAATCTTATGAAATTATATTTAAGAAAAGAAATTAATTGAATGAATACTTAAGCAGACACAACACTAAGAAAATTTATCGTTGTTTACTCAATAACTGTCTGAATTGACATACCAATTTATGAAAAAAAATTGCCAATCAAAAAATATTATTCTCTTAATAAATTTTTTTTATAAAAATGTACAAATCAAAATTTAATTTATCTAAAAAAATCATAATAAATATTAAAGTTATTGTTTAAAATATTATTTCCAACGATAGATCTTGAGGAAATCTTTCGAAAGTTATCTCTTTAACCTATTATTATTATTATTTATTATTAAATGGTTTATGGTCTAAATTTAATGATTAAGTTTGCTTATCATATACATTCGTTTATTATATTGCTAAATGCTTTAAAAAATAAAATAATAGAAGTTGCACTTTTAAATAATTTTGAGATATTTTTAAAAACTTAGTTGCATTTAATGATGTAGCAATAGGAATTTTTCTCAAAGAACAAGGAATTTCCCGGAAAATAAATCATATAAAATTATTTAATATTTTTCATTTATTCACATCAATCTTTTCAGGGTGACGAGCTTCTATAACTGGATCCTGAAAAGTAAAAAAATTATGAAAAGAATTTTTATAGGTCAATAATATATTTAAAAAAAGTCATATGAACAAGAGCCGTAGAATAATATAATAACAATAATTTATTCATAAAAATGAACAGATTTTTATAAAAACATGATTATTTAACGAAATAATGGACGGTAGTATTCTTAATAAATCACGCTGTACAAATTTATACAGGTTTTTTTTTTGCAGTATGATGTTATCATACTAATTTTATACATACTTCATTAACGGGTTTAAGAGTTATATTTTCATTTGTTTTTCCCTGAAAATATGAGTAGATAATTACATCTTTATATAATAAGTTTTTAAAAATATAATCAATGCACGTGTGCTCATTTTACACATACTAAATAATATCTTAAGTATAGGAACCTAATGATCAGTAGAATATACGATAATTTCTGGCAATATAAAAGATCACAAATCGTATCTAGTTGATGACATTATCCTTAAAAATTTAAAAAACTTCCCTCATTCCCCGTAAAAGGGGAAATTTCCAAAAAAATTACAATTTTTAAAGTCGGTAAATTTTGTCAGTTTTTTCACTTTTTTTCTTAAAACTACCATAAATTTTTAAAAAATCAACAAATCAATATAATTTTTTTGTTTAGATATTTAACGTGCTCACTGGGGGGTATTGAAAATAGCAACTTTTTTACAAAAACTAACTATTTTAACTTGACTTTTGAAAATGATCCGAAAATATTCACAGTTTTATTTAATCTAAAATTAAAGCTTATATTATATACTTTACTATGAAAAAAAAAAATTCGAGATATACATTTTCTTCTTGGTAAAAATGGTTACCGTATTCAAAAATATGTTATTTTTGTATTAAAATTCTGGGTTTTGTATTTTATTTTATTTTAAAATATCTTTACAATGGTAATAAACTGACTTTTATGAATTTTATATAATTTAATTGACATAGAATAAAGTTCATAAGACATAAGAAATTAAACTTATTAAAATTCTTTCCTTTTTTAGTCGAAAAAGTAAGTTTTAAATTTGAATTAGCTTAAATTGCTAATTTTATCATGCGACGAAAGTAACGAACAGTTGCCGAAACGGTTACACTTGTGTCTTTCACGCTTAGGGTACGAGGTTTAGCGTCCGTGGCACCGCAGCCGGGGACATGGTCTGAGGTGGTCAGGCGGAAGACGCCTAAAGCGATGGCGGACCTTCCTCCAAACCCCGGGCTTCCCGCAACCGCGCGAAGACACGTATTCAGGGCGACGGCCCCGAAAACCGAGGCCATTATTATCGGTCCTCTTAAGGAGGGCCAACAATATTCGGCCATTATTAAGAGGGCCATGGCAAAGGTTGACCTCCAGGCGCTGGGCGTCGTGTTCTCCGGTACCCGCAGAAGCAAGACGGGAGCGGTGCTCTTGGAGGTTCGGGGTACCGGGGCCCAGGCCGACCTGTTGGCCGCGTACACCGCCCAGCGATGTGCGTGGCATTCATACTGCTCGACGTGGAGGAGTGGATAGTGGAAGAGGACGTCGTGGGGGCGTTGACCACTATCCTCTCGAACGGGGGGGTCGATATGCCTACTGGTTCGGTGTCAGTCCGACTGCACGGGAGCGGCAAGGGCCGCTTCGCGTGATGCGAAGTGTCCGATAGGGCTTCGCAACCGTTGGTCGGGCTGACGCGACTCCGGATGGGATGGGGCACGTGCCGGATCCAGGTCCCAAAGGACAAGGAACCACGCTGCTACAGGTGCCTCGACAGGGGGCACATGCAGACGGCGTGAAGCGGTGCCAACCGGACCGGTGGGTGTTTTTCGTGCAGGGCAGAGTGCCACGGGGCAAGGGATTGCCCCAAGAAGGTGGGAGGGCCGGAGAAACCTACAAAAGGATATCTCCTGTCCTCTTCACTATTTGCGTGTGTTTTATTTGTTTTGTGAATTTTTATGGCAACCCATAGCAAAGTCCTATCCCCACCTCCACGTGGTGCGGCCTGCGCAACGGATCCCACTCTGGGATCTGGCTAACGGGGGAGGCCACGTCGTGTTGTGACTCAGTTCTTGATTAATTTCGGGCTGAGTCACAACACGGCGGTGTGATTTATAGACGGCGTGGGCCACCCTGAAGCAATACCTCGCGGTAGTTCCAGGGCGGTCCATATTATGCCGGCTGTGTAGAAAAAAAAAAAAAAGGGTACAAGGTTTGAATCAGTCTGTGGCAATTGATATTTATGATTTTATTTTTATATCATATAATAGTTGAAATATACATAACTATGAAAGTTGTTTCTGCTTTATCTTAAGATAATCTGTTCATAAAAAATTAATAAAATAAAATAAATTACTTCTTCGACTTCCCGTGCAATTCTTCTTTTAACTTTTTCAATGTATTCCTAAAGAAAATATTTTTTTTTATACTATATTTGTAATAAATATTCAAAAAAATAATGTTAACAAATATGTAATTATTCTAACCGATATCATTCTATTCAAATCTATATAGCTTCAATAAAGGTAACATGTATGTTTATACATATATATTAGTACATAGCTATTGGGTTTTTAAGTCTCATTACCTAAGTACCACGAAAATGTATAAAAAATTCAAATATAAGAAATGAATCCAATTTATGAAATGTAAATATTTTTAAAATTATAGGCGATTTTAAGAATTTTAATTGTCCTTAAAATTCATTACAAGTTATGAGAGTACGTAATAGTATAAGATAGTAAGATATGATATAGAGATAGTATAGCTATGAGATATCAGTAATAAAAATTGTATGATAGAAGAATCATTTATGATGTTGAACTAGTACAATTATTAAAATAAAATTAATTGAATTTTTTCATTATTAACACAGTACTGTGTTATTATTAACCGCACATTACGTTATTAATTTATATAAAATTGTATCGGAATCTGAATCAAAAGTGCTCAGTGGTCTATTGGAAAGGTTTGTTTTATAATTATCATATAGCAACATTTAGCGTTGCTGCCGATACAAGTTAAATTATTTTGATTTACACAATAATATTCTGAAACATATGATGATAAACAAACAGATATGTTTTTAAAATAAAATTTTCAATGAAATAATTTTTGATAAAGGTTTTAAAAAAAGTATCCATAATTTTTATTTTTTTTAGCTTTGATGCGAAGCTGAAAAGGTATTAATTTTACTAGGATATGTTTTTTTTTTGTGTCAGTTGCCACTTTTTCTCAGCTCTCACCGAACCGATTCTTTCAATGATACGTCAAAAGATCACAAATTGTATCTAGTCGAAGACATTACCCTCAAAAATTGAAAAAATTTCCTTCGTTCCCCGTAGATGGGGGAAACCTCCAAAAAAATTACAAATTTAGAAATCGCTAATTTTTGAAAATTTTTCAATTTTTTTTACTTAAAACTGCCATAACTTTTTCAAAAATGAATAAATCAATATAGTTTTTTTTTTATAAATGCATAATATTATTACCTTTCACTTGGTATATTTTTTTCATAAATTTGACTCTTTACCTGCTCACAGGGAGGGATTCAAAATGACAACTTTTACACAAAAATTTAACTTTTTCAACTTTTGAAAGTGTTCTGTAGATACTGACACTTTTATATATATCTTAAATTGAAGCTTACATAATATACTTTTATATTAAAAAAAAATTTCGGACTTTATTTTGCTTTCATGGTGAAAACAGTCATCAAAGTTTTTAAAAAAAAATACGATTTTTGTAAAAATATTTGAAACTTTTTGAAAAATGTATGGATGAATAGTCATCAATATGTCATAGCATTATAAAGTTAAAAATGTAAAATACAAAATCGAAAATTTTCACACGAAAATAGCATT